AGTCTCCATAGGTTAGATAGTCATCTCAGTAGATTAGGTAGTCACAATAGATAAGGTAATAATAGGTAGTCATCTCCATAGGTTAAGCAGTCTCCATAGGTTAGATAGTCATCTCAGTAGATTAGGTAGTCACAATAGATAAGGTAGTCATAATAGGTAGTCATCTCCATAGGTTAAGCAGAAGGTAGAGTCATAATAGGTAGTCATCTCCATAGGTTAAGCAGTCTCCATAGGTTAGATAGTCATCTCAGAAGATTAGGTAGTCGTCTTTTTCTAGTCCACCACCCAGACGGGCACCATGAAAAGAATTAGGTTTTTAACGATATTGCGCGAGGTTCGAGTCAGTAAAAATATATTTTATTAACTAACTTTTTCATTTCACACTTCTATTATATACATTTTTTATAGGTCCAAATTAGAATATAAACGAAATACAAAAAAGTAAAATAATATAAAAAAAGTAAGGTTACGCCGTTTATATAATAAAATTAGATTATAACAAAAAATAAAATTTATATTGTAATAAATAATAAAATTAGAATAATGCAACATAAAATATAAATAAGGCGATAAGTAAAATTCTCGTTATAAAATCAAAATATAAAGTAAAAATTATAAAACTTTTCTCATTTCTTAATTATTACATTTTCGATTTCACTATTAATACTAACTTTAAACACTAAATTTTACATTACTATCAATAATTATTTAATATAATTGTCATTTAATATGAATACAATTTAAATCTTTCAATTTCAATTAGCCTTTATAATATTGATATTCAAAGTGATTATTTAACAACTTTAATCTTTTCTTTCAATAAACATCTTTTACACCCTTTCCCTCTCTTAAATTAACTAAATCCATTCTGAACTTCCATTACAGTATAGCTAGCTATACGATTATCGATTAATTCTAGTCTTTAGATTTTTTTGTTGCTTCTGACGACTGATTCTAAGAGAACGAGTTATTCAAATCTTTGCGAATCGTAAATACTTCTTTTGTCATATTGCCTGTTTCTATCGATTTCTCATTAGTCGATCTTTTTCTCTAGTTTTTTGCCTATAATTCGTGGCTTCTAATGCTCTATATTAAATTCCAATGTCTTATTATAACAATACGATTTCTTTTCACGAATAGCGATCTTTTAGTAATAACAATCTCTTGTCCTAATAACGATCTCTTGTAACGATAATAATTTCTTTTCGCTATAACAATCTCTTTGTAATGATAACGATCACTTGTGACGATAATGTTCTCTTCTAACTAAAACAACTAATTCTATACTCTTTATCATGCGTTGCATCCAATTATAGCTTCTAAAATTTTCTCTTCTTTCCTTCTACGACTATTTGCCTAAATATTGATTCTCTTATTTTTTTTATAAAGATCGATTCAATTATTTTGTCTTAAGGTTAATGGTCATTTCATCTATCTCTTCTTCCCTTTTCTTTTCAGAATTTCCTATTTCGAGTTAATTAGAATAAAGTTTTCGGTTCATAGTACATACGTAATTCGGGACCAACTGTATAATCATATAATTTGAATGAGAAATTTATTCCAACTCTAAATTTAATTAATAACTTTTAAGATCAAAATAGTTACTCAGTAATCATTGTAAAACAATAAAGAAAACTATAAACTAAAAATATAAAGTAAAAATTATAAAACTTTTCTCTCTTTTAAATTATTACATTTTCGATCTTACTATTTATACTAAAATTTAAACACGAAAATTTACATACTATCAACAATATAATTGTCATTTAATAAACCTTTCAACTAACCTTTGTAATATTGATATTCAAAGTAATTATTTTACAACTTTTTCATTTTTTTCAATCAGCGTCTACATGAGCGGAAGGGGTAAGAAAAATTTGCATCCTATTTTTTGAGGGGGGGGGGGTAGGGGGTAGGCTGCTTTAATGGTGGTAGGATAAAATTTTTTAGGGGTTATCATTAAATTTTGAGATGAAATAGGACAAAATTATTGCTGTAATAGTAATACAATTCATCGACCAAATTTATATATTGCAAACAATCATACACATTGTTTTCAAAATAAAACTTTCTGCTATTCGTTTAAATGTAATTTAAAAGGTTTAGATATTTCAGCAAACTCATAATGCCTTAATAATTAATTCATTGTAAATAATGGAGGTTTTAAAAGAATTTATTATCTAAAAAATAAATTCTTTATATTCACAAAATATCGATAGTTGTTGGTAGTAGAGATTGATTAATTTAAGTTATCCTTTATAAATTCTCTGAAAAGAGTATCAATAAATTAAAAAGGTAAAAATAATAATAGGGAAACACCGCCGCCGAAGGTAGTGGTAATTTTTTAGGGGGGTAGGCAAGGGTTTTTGAAGGGGGTTTGCATCCAGTAAAAATCCTGTCATGTAGACGCTGTTTTGAATGCACCATTAAGATTTTCCGTAAAATAAAAATAAACGATCTGTAAAATCCTCGTATATAATATATACATAATTTCGTCGAAAATAACTTTTTGTTCCTTAAATTACTAATCTGGTTTTGACAGGTTTAAGAAGGCTACTTGTCGTAAGAAAAATTATATACAATGTATTATAAAACTGTTTACATGATAATTGTCGTGAAAAAAAAATATAATTAACAACACCTCTTAAAAAAATTATGTAAACAATCTGTTTTATAAAACTAATATGTTTATAATGATAAATGGTATATATATTGGGGGAGAGGATTTTAATTAGCCTAAAAGCTATTTTAAAAAACAAATTTTTGTTGGGAAAATTTATCTTTGCCCCCCCCCCCCACCATAGCGATGCCATTGCTACTTTTTCAATGCCTGATTTATAAAAAAGTATATTATATACTACCATTTCTATGGCATCGTTAAAATCTCATATCCTTAAACTAAAATCCCAATGGACTCCTTCATATCTTATATTCTTCAAAGTGGCCATATATGCCTCCAATTATGATCTTCTCTCTAGGATCTACCAGAGCTCCGCCGTTTATATTTTTTAGCATGCCTATACCAACAATCTTTAAAAAATATTAGCTACGGCGTGCCTTCATTAAATAATTTGATCTATTTTAATATAGGTATTTTAGCATATTATTAATATTTTTTTATCATGAAATAAACAAAATGGTTGTATATTAATATAATTGTATAATAGTTATTCCACAAACTAACCCTTACATATTTGATTTGGTTCATAAAAATAGAGTGTCCAATGGAAACAGGGGATAGTCGTTTTATCAATTTTGGCTGTTATGTTTTGATATTATAGTCAATTCTTTCTAAAAAATTAATTTATTTTCACACTTACGATAATCACAAACATACAAAAATATACCATAATTTTCTAAATTTGATCATAAATAATTAATGAATGCACGAATAAATTCTTTAACTATATCTTACTTGAATGTCGTTTTCTCTATTTTCTCTTTTACTATTCGTCACCTCATATATCTCCTATATATGATATTTCCTCCACTTATTTGTATTTCTTCGTATCCTTTTTGCTTGTTTTCCTTCTATGTGATTGCTCACCCTCGTTACAATTTCGTCTATTAATCTCTAATTTGTGGATTATGGTAATGCCATCAGCTCGATGAATCTCTTATTCTACTATCACAGTATTGAATTCTCTACAACCCAAATCCAACTTTTAAATCACTTTTATCCAGATTGTTATTTTTCAATACTTCTATGCACTTGATGTACTCTTACACCTATTCCTTTTTTCTTTTACGTTCTTATTTATCTCATATGTTGTCCATTCCTTTATCTTATCATATTCTTCCCATTTATCGATTCTTGGGTTTAACACCATTTCGCTTCCATGCCAATCTTTTGTTTATTCGTATTCTAACGTTTCCTTTTCTCGCTTCCAGTCATTATTGTTCTCCTCTATTCTACCTTTTCCTTTAATTCTTTCGCTATTTTATTTTTGTTTTAATATTTGTTGTGATATTTAGGTTTTGTTTATATGTGATTATTTTATAATAGTATAAGTCTTGCTTTTATGTGATTAAGGTTGCAATAATATATGTTTTGTTTATGTGGGATTCCTGTATGATAATATATAATTTTTATTTATGCGTCTATTTTTTTTACAATATTATATGTTTTGTTTGTATGCGTTTAGAATTACAATATTGTATGTTTTGTATTCGTGTTTAATATTACAATATTGTATATATTTAAATTAATGTGAAATATGAAAATGTGATTATTAATTATATAATAGATAAGGAAAATATAACTAAAAATTTAAATGATATCACATAACTACCATACTCTAATCATGAGAATTATTTATTTACTATATAATATGCTAGTAAATATTAAAATTATATATAAACGTTTAAAGTTATTTTTCTACAAAAAACGAAGAAAATCTTTTTTAAATATTGAATAGTTAAATATACAGAAAATACTCCTTTTAAAATAAGTATTGTCCGACAGATATAAGAAACTAGATACAAAGGTATTTTTAAATTTGTGAAATATTTTTAAAAATATAATATAAATAAAGAATTTTTTCGTGTTCGTAATGAAAAATGGATTTTATATTATCATATTTTTTGATAATATATACAAAATTGTAGCTCCTTCCCTCCAGCTAAATTATTAAGTAATACACCATTGCTTATATACAAATATATGTATTCACACTTGTTTCATACACTAATATTCATCATCAGCCATTAAAAGATTATCTATAAAGTTTTAAAAAACATAAAACTTTTGAAATTTTTGCAATTTTAAAAACTTTCAAAAATTGTAAAAAATCGATTAAACGACAAATATAAATTAAATTTTTTAACTTCTACTTGTCCGTTAATTCACTTCTACAAATATTATATTAACTGAGGAAAACAATTTATATATATATATTTATTAATTTTAATTCTAGATTATAAAAATTTTATTCCTAATTTTATATTTATATTTATAAATAAAATATTTGTTTTATTAAATATTTTCAAGAGATTTAACATTTTTGTCTTATTTGTCATATTATTGAAATAACTCAATTCGTGCGCTATTATTTTCTTATAAGATTTTTATGACAAATTTTATTAAATTTCCTAAGATCGAAGGCTAGATATTATTGATAATTCTTGAAAATAATAACCGATGTAATTTGCATTTAGATATATTATAGTTAAATCCTTTAAAAAATTATCTTAATTTAAAGAGAACGCATGTCTGCATTAAATAGTATTTTTACCTTCACATCACCCACAGTCAAAAAACTTTTAAACTGGAAACAAAGTGACGAAGAAGAGAAATGGGCAGAAAAAGCTATTGAATCTCTTGTTAAAAAGTTGAAGAAAAAAAAAGGTATTTATATAAATATTACATATTTGATATAAATTTATTAAAATTAATTTGAGATTATATTTTATTTAGTTATTTAAATTAGGCTTAAATTTAACAATTTTATTTTTTAAAGTTTTATAATATCTATTTTTAGGTGCCATTGAAACTCTAGAAAGAGCTTTAAGTTCTCCACCAGGCGATTGTGTTACCATTGAAAGGTCCTTAGATGGAAGATTACAGGTTTTATTACATGAATTATGACTACTAGATATATTTAGATAAATTATAAACTTCAATTTTTTTAGGTGTCCCACAGAAAGGGCTTGCCTCATGTAATTTATTGTAGGGTTTGGAGATGGCCAGACTTACAAAGTCATCATGAATTAAAGCCATTGGAAATATGCAAATTTCCATTTGGGGCAAAAGAAAAGGAAGTTTGTGTCAATCCTTATCATTACTCAAGAGTAGAGAGCCCAGGTATTATAAAATTTTATAAATACCTTAGTTTATTTTTGTATAAATAATGGTTATTTAAGACAAACCTTATTATTTGTAATATTTATTCTCTGGCAATGACATTATTTTATTACAATCATACTTTGTTTATTACTTATAATGTTGGGATAATTTTTGTCATTGTGTCTTAGTCCTTTTATTTACATAGTTCTTATATATATTTTATTTGTTCATTAATTATTATACTCATTCCTTTTTGCCTTTATATTTACCCTTTTAGTCATTTACCACTTAAATTTATGTGACAATTTTTGCCCATATTGTTTATTCAATATCTATAAAGGAAACCATTTTTGCCTGGTATTATTTTTTTGGTTTGATCTATATATTTATAATATTAAACATAACTCTAGATTATATTTTTATTTTATAGTACAGAGAACTCTTTTTTGAAATTTTGTTATTTTAATCATTCTAGCTTGGCTATATTTTATAGATTTTCTAAGGGAAATTGAAAATATGAGTAGTAATTGAATATTAAATGTTTCATTACTCCTAATATAATTGTTGAATTAATACAATTGATATCTGCCTAATCTGGGTTTTGTAAAAAAAATATTTTATGTTAAACCTACATTTGTAAGATTTTTAATTTTTGAAAAAAGAATTTTTTTTTCCATCTAGTTTAAGGTGGGGCTTACAAGTTTATGGTATATGTTACTGGAAATATGCATATTCAGGCAAAGCATGTATTGCCTTAGGAAATATATGTAATATCTTAAATTATAGGTTAGATATTCTACTCAGAAACACTTTTTGGGAAGATGAGAGTGCTAAATAAATGATTTAAATTAAAAAAAATAGCACAATCATTTTAGGTCAATTTTTTAACTTTAAAAATTTCTATTTTGCTAAAAATTTATTACAACTTTTGTAGACATTTTTTTAAATAATAGATTTTGATCACAACTTTTGAGTCATTTTTATTTATATATGGCAAAACAGAGACTGACTAAGATATTAATTGAATAATACACAATGCCTGGTGACACACATTGCTGACATAACATAAGTTCCCAATGCCTTATATTAACATTTTTAACATCCCTACAGAAATAATGTGACAACCATTTACACTATGATTTTTTAATTATTAAATTGCACCCAATCATATTTTCCACAATTATCTTAATGAAGACTTGTTAAGGTGTACTATGGCTTACATCCTCATTCCATCGAGCAACAGAATCCCGCTAGTCTGGGATTACACATGCCTTGATGTTTTTTTTTACCATGTTGTGAATAGACATAATAATTTGAATTTCAAATGACTATTATATTAGAGATCTGCAAAGTTAGGCCTGGCCTGAATAGGCTTTGGGCCGGACTCGTGCCTAGTATATTTAAAATAATTGGGTTTGGGCTGGACTGGGCCTAATATTTTTTAAAAAAATTCGGGCCGAGTCTGGTCGGACCTTGGAATTTTTTTAAATATATCTAAATTTATCAATTTTATAGTGAATTTTTTATGTAAAATAAAAATATTCGATTTTATTTATTGAAACTAAACGACATATAACATATGTCTTTTATTTTGGTAATTATAAAAATTAATTTTTATATTTAAATAATGGGCCGGGCCGGTAAATTTTTTTAAAAAATCTAGGGTTCAGGCCAGGCCGGTAAAACTTTTTAAAAAATTTCGGCCTGGGCCCTTGAGAAATTAGGCCCGATGCAGATCACTATATTATATATTTCTTTCTGTCACTCTCATGTACATGCAGAACTGTTTCTAACAAGTTCTAATTAATTCTTCCAATGATTATTTATACATTCTAAAACAGAAAAAGGTTATAGCATTTTTTCTTTCTCTAATGCATATTTTAATATGATTTTACTTATTTGTTTTACATTATTTTAATTGCAACTTGTTAAAAACGATATATTTTATTATTCATTTACTACATTATCAAGTGAAAATTTAAGTCAATTTTATTGTTTAAAATATATGTAATATTCTCCTATACAAATTATAATTTTTTTTACTTACATCAAGTTGATTATGGTTTAATTAGAACTAAAATTAATTTTTAACCAGAAGATAATTATCACTATTTTATTTATTATGATGATTTGCTATAAATGAATTTAAAAAAACACTCAAATTCATTCATTACTAGCACCTTTTTTTATCAATAGTTTTACCGCCAGTCTTGGTTCCTAGATACAATGAATACCCACCACCAAACCATAATGACAATAATAGTTGTTTGAAATTTCCCTATCAACAAGTTATAAATATATACCTTACATCTTAATTATTAGTGTATTTTGCTTTTCTTGAATATTTGTTTATTTTATACTCCATAAGAATCATTATAATTTCATATTCTATATTTAATATTTGTATTCAACATAAATTTTTCATATGGCCCAGTTTGATGAAGTTATTATGCCACCGAATGCGACCTTTTCTGATGATATAGCCTTCCAAATGGCATCACAGAATAGTGGGCCCACCATACCTCCTCCTTACATGATGAACCCCAACGAAAATAATAATGGGTTCATGCCCACTCCCGGAAATTTGGTACCCCATCCTCCATTTATGAACAATTGTCAATACAATGGAGGAGCTCGCCTTGGTAGCAATATGGTTGGCAATCAAGGCATTCAAAACAACAGCATCAATAACCAGGCTAGCCAGCATACTCAAAATATGCAGAACGTGCAGAGCATGCAAAGTGTTCAGAACAGGGCATCCCCTTATGATAGCTGTGGGGGACCAGAAAGTCCATTTTCTGACATCTCTGTCACCACTGGTATAGTTTCTTGGCTATTTCCTTTTGATTTTGCACATATAGGATTAAGTTTAATTTTAAACCAAGATAAAAAATTTGAGATAAATATATTTTAAATTCAACCACAAGAGGTAATATTATAAAAATTTAGATATTTTAAATTGTAATAAATCTTTTAAAAAAATATGATAACATACATAATATAGCTCCAGTCCATTACACACAACCTGAAATTTGGTGTTCCGTTGGCTATTTTGAGCTGAATTGCAGAGTCGGGGAAAGGTTTCACGCCAAATCACTACATTTTGTTGTTGATGGCTACACTGACCCCTCCATGAATCCCTCCATATCTACCAACTTTAAAGTTTTTTTTTCTTTTGAAATTTTTGTTAATACCTTAAAATGATTTATATGCAATGACTAACATCCTAACTTGTTTGTAAATAGGCAAAAATAAATTTTAAATATTTTACTTCATATAAACGCTATTTTGCTCAATATCAGTTTTATTTCTGAATATGTTTGGCGCAGTCCAAAAGTATTTTTGCCCACTGGCCTAGTTGCATTGACCTTTATACAATTTTTTTTTAAACGGTTATTTATAGTTCCCATTCTTTTGGCACGAATCTAAACCTCAAACCAATATGGTAGAATCTCCCTCCAGGTGTGGCTCCAGTGATTACATTGATCCTGGCCATCTCACCAACATTCCTTTCTTTTGGAACAACAAAAACACAGCACATTCAAATACTTGTAAGATAAATTTTTTTTGCATTTATATATATTAATAATTTTGTCTTAACGCTCCTTTAGATGAATTTTGTTTCTCCACAAACCACAAATAATTCAACACCTTTGACAGGAGCTTATTGGGGTTTTTTTAAGGAATGAATGCTAATGGAAGAAAATTTTAAATCGAATTGGATAAGATTTATTAATAATAAAATAACATTTTTATTTTGGAAATGTATTTTTCTAAGTTTAAATGTTTTAATCCATGACAAATTTCTCTCAAGAAATTAAGTTTTCCTGAGAGTGGACAAGCCCGCCATTGTATTTTCTTCCATAGGCTTTCATGACAGGTTTTAATATATACCTTTATATCAGAGATACCACTGATCAACACGCTAAAAAATATATTATATGAATATTATTAATATTTAAAATTATGAATAAATAAAATGTTAACTACGAATTTTTATATTCTTATTTTCTTTTTGGATTGTGATTAGCTTCTTCCTTTTTTAGAGAAGCACCAAGCATTGATAGAATAATAAAAAAAATCACATCTTTGAAGGAAATAAAAGGCTCTTTTTTAACGACTAAGAAGATAAGATGATAATTTTGTAAATCCATAACTCCCTTGATTAAGTCCCTTGGATTATCATGTGTCAAACGAATTAAAAACAACTTTACTTTACTTATATAAACAAGTAAAGGGAAACCGGTTTAATTCCATTCTAGGTGAAAAAAAATGAATCTGCACAGCTCAAGCACAATTTACTATAAAATCTTTTACATTATGTTTCGAATTTTTTTAAAAAAGCCAACAATTGTTGTAAAGAAATGTTTCACCAACCCGCCCCAACTTCCCCACATTCGGATCGGTCCTCAACTGCTCAAACTTCCCGACTTCTATCTGCCACTGGCGCCTCTAGTGGAACAGGTGGCTCTATAAGTGGGGGAGGTAACGGGACCTCTCTAAATCATCGCTTCTGTCTAGGACTCCTGTCCAACGTAAATCGTAATTCTACTATCGAAAATACAAGGAAACATATTGGGAAAGGTAAAATCCCTTTTTTCGATTTTATTATTTTGAATAACCATCCAATATATAGCAGGTCTAATATAACATTGGTTATAAGGTTATTTATTTTCAAACCTTGATTATTTTTAATTTATATGGCAATTGTATCAAATGGTCAAAATGCCGAAAATGATCTTTTTCCGAAAAATATTATTTTTAAAATAAAACAAGTTAAAAAATATTTATGATGAAAATAATAATGTTGCGGTTTTTATTCACATTAATTTTAAACCTGAAAGCTCCCGGTGTTTTATATTTATATTTAAAAAATTTAAACTTGGGATAGCCATGGTTTTTTTAGTTATTACGTTTTTTAAAAAATGAACCTTTTTCAATTAATGGGTAAATTAAAATATTTGCCAAGATATGAACTGTGCACCAATTTGTCTATCTAAATTCATTTTAGTTCTATATAATATGCTAAATATTCCTCAATATTAAGGGCCCATATAAAAGTAATTTTGACATAATATAAACTAAATTAATAATTGCTAGTTTAGGCGAGTTGGCGTATATCAGATATCCATCTCGAGGGGGGGGGGAATTAAAGCATTTTTGAAAAGTGGCTTTTTCTTAATTTAAAATAAAATTGCTGTTAAAAAATGAAGCTGCTTTATATTTTATTACCAAACATTTATTTTGGTTATTTTTTTGTATTGTATTTATTATTATATTTTGAGATTATTCTAAAAAAATGATAGGTAGCAGGGCAACCGAAATGGTACGTTATATAAAGAATTGCGTTTTAAGAAGATTCTTATTTATAATTAAAACGATTGCCATTTATTTGATATAATAATCTAGTAATTGAGAGGTTAAAAACATTGATCCCAGGTGTTTGATATTTTAAAAAAATATATGGATGATTTAATCGCCACTTAAATCAGTCAGCCCTATTAAATAACGGCGATATTTAATATTTATCGTTAATCACCTTTCTTTTCTGGATTGGAAAATTTACAACTGCTCGTTTTGTATGACATTTTTTTAAAGTTTTAACCCGAGTTATTATCTCGATTTATATTTGAACAAAATTTTTAACCCAAGGTGTCCACATTTATTATGTTGGGGGAGAAGTGTTTGCGGAATGTTTAAGCGATCCAGGAAGTAGCAGCATATTTGTTCAAAGCAGGATATGCAATCACGCCCACTCTTTTCACCCGTCTACCGTAATTATATTTTATTTTGAACTCATGATCTAAAAATTAGTGTTGCTCAAAGGCTCGTTTTAGCCTATTTTTAAAATTAAGATTTAAGTAGGGATGTACCGATATTATATATCGTACCGGGCCGATATTTCCCCCATTTTAAAATATCGGTTATCGGCAAATATTATAACTTTCCGATCTGATAGTGGCGTTTTTAACAAAAGTTATAGCTAAAAAACCATTTATTTTTATAAATAAAATCGAAATCCATTTTTATGTTTAATTTTTTTAATAGTAATAATTAGTTAATAAACATTCTACCATATTGATATTTTTTTTCGCATTCTGTTTATAAAAGTATTCAATAATCTCTTTAGAATCTGTTTTTAGTGAAGCTAATGATACCACAGACTGACCTCTGATAAATTGGAAATTTTGCTATTTATTTCAAATTTCATAATATATTTGTTTATTACTTATTATGTAAATAGATTAATGTTATTACTTTATTATATAAATATGTGATTTTTCAATAAAAATATTTTATATACTTTTAGAATTGCAATTGAATTGAATATAAATTATAACTGATCATTAAAATATATTTAAATGACATATGTTATGGTATAGTTAAATTATAGATGTTATACTATTAAAACCATTGGTATCTTTACAGAATACATAATTAGATAAGATATCGGATCGGTAATCGGCCGATATCAAATTAATATCGGATCGGATCGGCCTCCCAAAAGTGGTATCGGTACATCCCTAGATTTTAGCCAAAATTATTTTATGCAAGCCTCAAAATTTCAACATTTCTGCCATCTATGAACAAAATCTTCAATTAAATAATATTTTTGACTAAAATATTGGTTTGGCCATTTTCAAGAATAAGCCATTTAGCAACACTATTTTAAAATATAATGGATATATAGCAAGAATGCTTTTTAAAATCATACCTTACGAAGTAAAACTATTATTAAGTTTCAAGTTTGACATTTCTTATACAATTATTATGACTTCTTGTTACAAGAATTATCATTCGCATTTTGCTGTAATTTTAAAAATTTAGGTATGCAAAATCCCACCTGGTCACACCCTCAAAATTTTCGACAATGCCCACTTTGCGCGGGCCCTGGGCGAGTGCGTAACGCTCGGATACGAGGCCGTCTATGAACTAACGAAGATGTGCGTGATTCGTATGAGCTTTGTCAAAGGTTATCTTCAAACTTGTCATTTTTTTATTTAACCTAGTTTCTCTCCTTCCATTTTTCATTTTTTTACGCCTATATTATTTTTGTTATAATCACTTTCACTTTTTATTATTTTATTGTTTGAATGTTTTAAACTGGGGATGATTGGATCAGTGCAAACGTCGGGACATGGCCAATACAACATTCTATTTTTAAATGTTTGCTCCTTTTTTTATTAATGTAATTACATTAGTCGGATATATTCTGGATTGGAAGGGTATGATTATCGACACTCTTAATTAAAATAATTTAATCTGATCAAATCAACCCTACCCTAATAGTGGGTAGAGGGAAAAAACGATACAAGAAAGTTTTGTTTGTTTTAAATAACGTTCTTTATACTAGAATTATTGATTTTTATTTTATTTTAAGATTATAATCATTATTTCAAGTTTTATTTTACTCCTTTGGTATTTATTATCTCTTAAAACATAAAAAATATATTTGTAGGCTGGGGAGCCGAATATCACAGACAAGATGTTACCAGTACCCCTTGTTGGATAGAAATTCAATTACACGGGCCATTGGTATGGTTAGATAAGGTATTGACGAAAATGGGGAGTCCAGCCGCTCCTATATCTTCAGTCTCTTAATACCCTTTTTTATAAGCAAATTTTCGTAGAATCTCATCCCCCATCACACTTCTTTAATTGTTATAATAAATGTACATTTTAATTTTGTTATCAAGCTTAAATTATTAAAATATAATATATAAAGTTGTGTTTTAAAATAATTATAAAGATAAAAGACACTTCCTTTTAATATATAAAAGTGGTGCATCGCTATATATTTGATTTTTTCTTAAATTCCGAGCTTGGCTCGATTTAAGAATAAACTCGGGACCTTAGGCCCAGATCATTAAGTTAGATATTTAAATAATGTTAAATATGATGACTCGAGACTATTGATTATTATTTAACATAAAAAAAATATTTAATAATCAAAACTAATTTTTTTAGGAAAAAATATTTAACAATTTGTTCATGATTTCTGCATTAAAAAAAATAGAAGACATAGCAATAATTGAACATTGGAATAATTGTAAATATTTTATAAAAAACTATTTCTTGGGATGATGGTCATGTATTAAGAAAATAATTATTTTATAAAAAACTATTTCTTGGGAGGATGGTCATGTATTAAGAAAATAATTATTTTGCATTTAAATAACGCGCTTGAAAATGTTTTAAAGTTGAAAAAATAACACATTATATGAAAAACCGCTAACATATACATAGAATTATTCAAAATAGCAATAAAAATGTAAAATTAGTTTATGAAATAAAATGAGATGTTATATCTGTTTATACAATATGTTTTATTTGTATGGCGTTTGATAATGTCTTCCTTGGATTTAAGATTATTGTGAACAGTTCCTATAGAAATATTAGATAAAATTTAATAAATTTTTTTTAGATATAAATGAATGAATGAAACAAAATAATGTCCACTATAGGGGTTTTACATAAATGCGCAAAAAAATATAAAACATTTTTTAATAATAGTTAATGGAAATTTGATTGGGATTTAAAAAATTTTGGCCAAATTAAGGATTTGCCGAAATTATCAAGAGCCCAAATTAGACAGGATTGACTATATTTAAGTAAAAAATATTTTTGGATAAAATAAGAATTTAAATTTTATTTAGTTTTGATAATTTTAGGAATAAAGAAATCAAATATAGGATGCTATCCTTTAAAATAATTATGATATATTTTCTTTTTATTGGGATACAAAAATGAGATAATCGATAAACGCATCAAACTAATGTTCCAAACATGCCAATTAGACTTTGGTACTAAAGGAGGATCTAGTCCGTAAGTTGGACTTGAAAAGTTTTTTTAATTTTTTATGAAAAATTTTCAGTATATACAAAATTTATTGAACAGTCATAATTGTAGAACCCTTCTCAAATTTGGGGGTTTTCCAATTCCTTCTAATGATGGCTATAAGCTGATACCCCCAAGCTTGCATGAAAATAAAATATTTATATCAAAAAATATTAAAAAAATCTTTGAACCACTTCCCCAAAAATATTATCAAAAAATCTTAAGAGATTTAATCGCATACGGTAATATCCCACAAAATTCTTTACAAAAAATCTGGATTTTTTTTTTGGGGGGGGGGGGGGGGGGTTGGATATTTCTGCTGAAAACAATATCACTAGCCACATTGAAAATGAGAGTATCCTTTAAATTTTTCAAAGCTGCAATCAAGGTATTACAAAATATGATGATAGCAAACTTTCTATAAATATAAGCATTTTAAATCTAAACAAATTTTATAATATAACCGAGTGGTATGCTTAAAAATCTTTGCGATTTTAACAGTAAATCACTCTGACATGCTCTAAGCATTGTATATCTTTTAGCACCATCAATATGTGAATTTCTAAGATCCTTAACATATTTCTTAGTTCTTTTATCAATTGGCATAATTGAACAATGATTAGATCTAATGGATGAAATTTTTAATATATCTTACTAACTTTAATAATTTTTAGATGTATTTATTATGTAAAATTGAAGCAACTTCGCTACTTTCTAAATAGTAGCGAGCTATCGCTATTTTCTAAAAGAAGTAGCCCGCTAAAGCTACCGCTACTGAAAAAAGTAGCCCGTTATTTTAACAACACTGCACATTAGCCTCGTAAAAGAAAAGGTCCGTGAAGTTGTAGGAACGAATTTCTTAGTTCTTTTATCAATTGGCATAATTGAACAATGATTAGATTTAATGGATGAAATTTTCAATATATCTTACTAACAAATCTATTGTTTCTGATTTGGAAACATTATTTATACCTAATTGAAAAACATCGTTAAATTGAATCTATTTTTAAATTTTTTTATGGTTTCAATGAGAATATTTATATTATTATACGACAACATATTGGGATAAATTTGGATTATAATCCCTTTTATGTTTTCTTCCCTTTTTTGAATAAGCATTTTGGACAGGTTCCGAATCTAGATATTATTTCAAAGCTTTTCTTTATATCGTTAAAATTTTGCCCACAATGTCTTTTTCTATTATGGTTTGTTTATTTATCATCTCATATAATGCCGTGGGAAATTATTAACTAAGAATTTATACTTATTTTTGGTTAATATTTTTTGACATATTTTGAAATTGGAAAAAATGAAATAAAATTTTTTCAAAATAAAGTATCCACATTTTCAAGAATCTGTTGCTACTCTCCTCTACATCCCTTTTCCCTATTTTGAAAGATAAATGAGTAAAAGTTAATAACTTTTTAAATATAGATTATAATTCAAAATTTTTAGAAAAGAGTATTTGAAAACCCAATATTACTTTTATAACATAGCCAAAGGCCTACAATTACAATACCTGGACCTAAAGAGTTGGCATTTTAATTCGGCAATGTTAATAATCATTATGTTATAAAAGGATCGTGTTGGCATCTTCCGTTGCTACTAAGTTTAATGTATCACAAGATCATCGTCTTTGCCTGTGAATATCCAGAAAAATATTACGCAAGCCTGAAGATTTTGTTCATATATGGTACGTAAGGTTTGAGCCTCCATTAGCGAAATCTCGAGGCTTAGGCAATATTTTTCTGGTTAAAATATAGCCGTTTTAAAAAATTGGCTCAAATGTAGCGATTTTGCATCACTACCTGGGAAGTTAATCAAAGTCATTTAAAATTAATTAGTTAATCCAGAAGAAGCAGCCGTTGTGCAAAAAACACTGGACTCTAATAATCTTCACTTAAACCATCTTTCATTTGAATGGCATATTTAGATATTCCCGAAATTAAGGCATGTACGAATATTATGATGGTAGAGTATTTATTAGCTCAATAAAATCTTCATTTTTGCTGATACCTTTAAAATTCGTATTTCCGTCAAAGTTTATTTTAATTAATTTGATGTGGCTGAATTATTTTTCTCATCATCTAGTTTCCTTTATTTTTAAAAATTTCCAATGACTTCATCGTACTACTGGGGTTATGATAATATATCGTTACAGATGCAGCGCTGCACTTAATAATCCCTATGCACTCTATTGCGCATATAAATTAGTGATCATGCCAACTAAGAGATATCCCTCTTCGGATTCAAAGCCAGTCGAAATAATAACAACCTGACGATTGGATGAAATCTCAATCAATTCCACATATCTCCTATGGCCGAAATATTTTAACAGCATTAATTAATTAGTACAAAACGCCCCCACGCTTATAATAAATATATATCGTGATTATAACAAATTATACTGTTGTTGCTTTTTCTGATTTATATATTACTATTCGTACATAATATTATTCACCATTCCTTCACTATTATATTACATAAAAAATCTTCGACAGATTAAAATATAACGACAAGTACAAAAGCCATAAAGGCCGATATACTTGGCTAAATTAAATAATACATAATTTTTCTAGATAGCTACTTGTAATTCAAGTTTACTTACATTCTTCTAATATTTTTTTAAAATATTTAAGATCTATCAATAAAAAAGGAATATACTTTTATAAATATAATAGGCTTTCGAGCTTTATCATTGGCCTTTAAAATCGATAAAATTTAATAATATCCATAATTTGTCGGGTCGAAATTTGACCTTGAAATATTTATTGTTAATACCTCACTTTCCTTTAATTTTTTTGACATTCCGTTTGAAGGATTCGGAGGATCAATTAAAACACAAAATATTGGCTTTAACTAAAAAATGATTGCTCAAATTTTAAATTTTGGCAAAATGCGAAAACCTTTCAATTTTGCCCATAACTCACGAACGGTTTATTCCCTTTGTATGCAGTTTAAAGATTCTGTAGGATCAATTAACGCTCTACACTTTGGCATGAATTTCGGTAATTGATCCTCACTTTAAAAAAAAATTCCGCCAACTTCACATTTTTAAAACCGTTGTAACTCGGTCACGGTTGGTGGTACGGATACGCGGTTTGCAGATTATTAATGTACATATTGTATACTACATAATTGCCAAGTTTCAGATTATGATCTTATTTATTTTAGGTTTTGGCAAAGTGCCAACACTTTTTTATTTTGCCCATAACTCACGAGCGGTTTATTCCGTTGGTATGCGGTTTAAAGATTCTGGAGGATCAATTAACGCTCTACACTTGGGCATAAATTTCAGTAATTGATCCTCACTTTTTAAAAAAATTCCTACAACTTCACGCTATAATAACAGGTCATAACTCTGTTGCGGTTAGTGATATCGATATCCGGTTTGGAAATTATTAACGCACAAATTAAAGCCTAAATAATTGCCAAGTTTCAGATCGTGATCTTTTATATTTTCGGTTTTGGCAAAGTGCCAACACTTTCTAATTTTGCTCATAACTCAGTAACGATTCATTCCGCTGATTTCCGGATAGAAGATCAATTAGGATCAATTAACGGGCTATACAATGATATATGTTTCGGTAATTGATCCCCAAATCGTTCCTACAGCTTAAATATTTCCGCCAACTTAACGTTTTTAAAACGGTTATAACTCGGTATTGGTTAGTGATATCGATATCCGATTTGGTGATTGTTAATGTACGTATTGAATACTACATAATTGCCAAGTTTCAAAACATGATCCTTTTTATTTTCGGTTTTGGCAAAGTGCCAATACTTTTTTGTTTTGCTTATAACTCACGAACGGTTCATTCCGTTGATATGGGGTTTAAAGATTCTGGAGGATC